CCATCTTGTTTTACCCCTAGTACCCCAGAGTATACAACAGGGCCTAGGACATAGGTATTCAAAAAATATATGTGAAATGGGTTTGCCAAAAGTTACTGTTTTTTCCAGGCATACTTGAATAATGCCTGTGCATAGTAGGCTATTGTTTGCTGGGTGAATAAATGAAAATTTCCATTGCTTTTGTGCTTTGTAGCTCTGGTAATAGAGCTTGTATTATTTCAACTCAGTGCTTACTTTGAATTAATGATCTAGTATTAAATTCTATTTTGTTTTCTTCCTTCTCTTTTCCTCTTCTTCTTAACAAGGTTATGGTCTATTTCTCCCCCCATTGTTGGAAAAACTGCAGTGTTTTGTTTTGTTTTGTTTTAGGTTTAAAGTCATACTATCTTCTAAGAAAGGAGGAGGGAGAGCAGAACCTCTAAGTCTAGAACAGTGGTGGGCAAACTGCGGCTCGCGAGCCGCATGCAGCTCTTTGGCCCCTTGAGTGTGGCTCTTCCACAGAATACCACGTGCGGGTGCGCACGTAGTGTGCGATTGAAACTTTGTGGCCTGTGTGCAGAAGTCGGTTTTCAGCTCTCAAAAGAAATTTCAATCATTGTACTGTTGATATTTGGCTCTGTTGACTAATGGGTTTGCCGACAGCTGGTCTAGGAGAATTTTTTTGTGTCAGGCAGAAAGTTCCTAAAGTGGTGACCCATCTGTAAAGCCATTAGTTTTGTAGCACAGTAACTCATGATTAATAAAAAGACAGACACACACATATCTACCAAACAAACAACCTCCCAACACACATACACACATATAGATGCAAAGAAAAGAATCAAGAGTGTCTTTCAGGTTTTTAGATTGAGCACTAAGTGGATAAGTGTCATGCTATGTACTGCACTGTCCCCTGATATTGAGAAGCTTGGAGGGGAGCGGGTTGGGGTGGGAATAGCAGGGCACAAAATTAGGAGTTTGTTTGGCCTCATGCAGGGAGCGGCTATTGGGCCAAGCCTCCGACTGACCTGTGGCAGAGCCACATGTAAGTCCCAGCTTGGAGGGCAGAGCCCTCCTAGCACCATTAAGTTTGACCTTATAGTCTTCCCTTGTTCCTAGGTAGCTAAGAGATGTGGCTGCGGGAGGTGCTGCAAGTGTTGCCAAAACAAAGCAGAGAATGGCAACAATAGGAAAAAAAGCAGATTTGAAATTCGCAAGAACATTGTAAACATCTTGCTCTTTTGTTTTGCTTTGAGTGATCTGACTATAAAGCTTCGGCTTACAGGCTGTGTTATTGTTTCCTCATCCAGGCACAGTGATCTTACCTAGCCCCAACTGTATTCTATTGACTGTCTTCTTTAATCCTTCACCGCCCCTCCTCAGGTTTACCCCTGGCTGTGCTGGATGTGGTTCAGTCTCAGTGGCCGGTTGGCCTCCACATGAAGATAACAAATAGGCAGTTGGATATAAGTCTGGAGCTTAGGGGAGAAGTCAGTGGTGGTGATATAGATTTGTAAAATCATTGGCAGATGGATGGCATGTAAAAGCAATGAGACCAATGAGATCACCTAGGGAGGGAATGCAGAGGAGAGCCGGGAGCCCGGGGTTCCCTGGGAACATGGCTTTGTTAGACAAAGTTGAACGGGAAGGAGTCTGAGGAGGGCAGGCCCTGCCGAGGTCCACACCAGGGATCCAGTAGAGCCAAGGTGACAAGTGACAACCACAAACAGAAAGAACATGTAAGAATTCTCAGGGATCCTTGGGAAAGGAAACCTGGAAAGAGGATTTCCTGAAGTCTTGGAAACTGAGGGGTCAGATTATTGCTGCATTTGCATTAAAGGGGCGTATGGTCTGCTAGGAGGAGAAACTAGGGACATCGGGTCACTCCTCTTTTCATTCCCACCTACTACCAGCCTCCGAAGGGCAGGGACTCTGCCTACTTGGCCTTGGTAACCGGTGCAGCTCAGAATAACTGTGCATGAGTGAGGGAATAGAGGGAAAATCTAACAGGCCTTGTACACATTGTTAAAACAACAACAACAACAACAACACAGTCTAAATAATAAAATCTGCAGGCCAAAAAGAAAGGGAACACTGAGAAACCAGGACCAAATGGCTCCTGACAGCCCAACCTGCAAGCCCTTTTTGGGGATTTAACCACTGCTACATTGAGCAAGAGAACATTTTGCTTTTCTCCCCGATCTGTGGAGAGAGCCATTCGTCCCCAAGCAGAGCATCCCAGCAAGGTCACGACATAGACGGGCACCATATGGAAAGGGATTTCTCAGAAGTCCCCAAGGAGGGGAGATGCTGTCTTCTCCTTCCCTCTGAGCTCCCTCAGTGGCTCCTGATGGGGGTAGAGAAAGAGCATCAAAGCCAGCAAGGAAGGAGGGACCCCCAGCAGATGTGGTGGGTGGTGTGAGTAGGTGGAAGAGGGCACACGTGACTAGAGCAGGGAGGGATGGATCTTCTGCACCCCCTAGAGCTGGCCTGGTGTTCCCTTGGGATGGGGTGCCATGGTCGGCCATGAGAAGGTAGAAGCAGAGATGGGGGTTCGGTGGGGAAAGCTGACGCAGAGGTGGGAGACAGGAGCGACTGGCAGAGGGTTCCAGGAGATTCCTCCCCACCGAAGGTACCTGGGGGAGTCTGAGTTGATTTCTGTTCCCCATCACAGAAAGAACCTCCACAAAAACAGAGAAGCCGGGGCCACTGTTGGGCCACCTCTTTCACTTCCCCAGAAGGGCTGCGGCTGCTGCAGGACTCCAGGGAGCTCTTTCTTAGTCTGGCCCTGCCCTGGCTGGATTCCTTCTGTGCATCCATGAAAACATGTCCACATCCTGTGGCCCTGGTTTAGACTCCTCTCTCTGTCCTTGCGATGCTTGCCCTACACGAAACAAAGGCATCCTTTAATCAGGCTGCCTGCGAGTTACACCTGGAACACCACAGCCACACAGGCAATAACAAACAAGAAAGAAACTCACAGTCAAACCCCTACTGTCCCCTGGAAACCCAAATGGGGAAGTAATAGCTGGGGCCTTTTCACCTTTCACAGAGGAAGGAAGGAACGACCTCGGAACCCGCCGAACTTCCGGGGGCCACAGTTCTCCATTCGGGGAATGTGTGTGTGGTGAGGGGGACCCACAAACTGGGTTGTTAGAGTGAAAAGAGAGCATAGGACTGGCACATAGCATGTTCTCAAACGTTAGTTACTTTATTATTAAAGAGGATTCTGGGAAATGAGACGTTTCTGGGCTTACGTTGTTTAAAGGGCTTCTCAGGGTGCCTAGTACCCACGAAGGTGTAAGAACTGGGAGTTCCATGGAAAATGTTTAAAGCTGGGATAGCAACGGAAGTTCACGTAGGCAACCAAAGCCACTGCCTTGGTTGTTGGTAGAGCTGTGGGTCAAAGGTTGCTGCTTTTTATTGAGAATTCTAGTGTTGTTACCCGAATACCATTGTGCAAGGAAATCACCGATGCCTTGTTTGATTAAAGATTATTATTTGATGACCAGTTCAAAACACACAGGCAAGGTGATCATTGGTTTTGCGGGGCGGGGGTGGAAAAGGAGAGGGGGGGGGTGGAAGAGAAGGTGATAGAGACAGAAAGAACCTCAATGAAGGTGCTTTTCTTCTGAGTGTATTACTGTTTAAAATCATGATCAGCCGAAACCTGTTTGGCTCAGTGGATAGAGCGTTGGTCTGGGTCCCAGGTTCGATTCTGGTCAGGGGCATGTACATTGGTTGCGGGGCACATTCCCAGTTGGAGATGTGCAGGAGTCAGCTGGTCGATGATTCTCTGTCATCGATGTTTCTGGCTCTCTGTCCCTCTCCCTTCCTCTCTGTGAAAAATCAATAAAATATATTTTAAAAATAAAATCATGATAGATATTGAATAGTTTATTCATTGAGATCACTATAAAGCACCTTGCTTCTTCTCTTTCTATTCTGCCCTGGGTCCTGGCTCTATCCTGGTAGTGCACGTCAAGGTCGAGGCCATGGAGAGCATTCTTCCTAGCCCCAGCCTGGATGGGAATGGGGCCCTCGACTCCTCTTGAATCAATCTTGGGCTTTTTGGAATAGTCCATGTGGAGCATTACAAGATGTCCATGAAGGCATCGTGTTGATGTACTATTTTGCTTGTAAAACATCTGCCTTTTAAAAATCCTGATTTAGCTGAAACCGGTTTGGCTCAGTGGATAGAGCATCGGTATGCAGACTGAAGGGTCCCAGGTTCGATTCCGGTCAAGGGCATGTACCTTGGTTGCGGGCACATCCCCGTTGGGGGGTGTGCAGGAGGCAGCTGGTCGATGTCTCTCTCTCATCGATGTTTCTAGCTCTCTATCCCTCTCCCTTCCTCTCTGTGGAAAATCAATAAAATATATTTAAAAAAAATAAAATAAAAATCCTGATTTACTCAAGACCTCCTTTCTAAAGTAAGGAGAGGAAGTAGTAAAGGGGCTGATGGGGAGAGAACTCTCATTCTGACATTTATATGCAATTTGCAGCAATCCTATGAAGTAGGAATCAGTATGCTTGGCTTACAGGTGAGGAAGCGGAAGCCCAGTACATGGCTCGGGACCATGGCAGAGTGGGATCCTGGGCTTCGGGCCCCAACTGTTGTGCTCAGAAATGCTGACTTCCTCTCCACAGAGAAGTGAGACTGGGCCCTTCCTCTCATGAGAGCATTTCTGCCTTCCCTGATCCTTGGAGCCTCTGCTCTAAGCATCTCTCAGTCTGGCTCCACCTTCCCAGCAGTTCTAGTTTGGAAGCACTGTGACCCCCAGATCCTCCTGGGTTCCCAGTGCGGTGTAGCCTGCCCGTGCTGTGAGTAGTGTGTGTGTGTGTGTGAGTGTGTGTGTGTGTGTGTGTGTGTGTGAGAGAGAGAGAGAGAGAGAGAGAGAGAGAGAGAGAGAGAGAGAGAGAATGGGGAGGAAGGGGTCTGGGCTCCTCTCTGGGAAAGGGAGGGGAGCAGGCAGCCAGGTTCTGATTCTGCTTGTCTGTAGAGCCGATGTGGTGCGGAGATGGGTGGACATTCGCTGCTGCTTGGTCTGCTCCTGTTCCTTCCTCTGATCTCGGGCTGGACCATTTCCAACTGCTCAGTGACCGAAGGCTCCAGGCTGCATCTGGTCGGCGGTTTCTCCCTCTGCTTCTTGGACTCCAGCCTGCTCCTCCTCGCAGCATGCTCCGGGGTGACCAACGTGACCAAGACCTTGGAGGCTGTGCCCCTGGGTGTGGAGGGGCTCTGTCTCACTGGTTCCCCTTCGGTTCTGCCCACGGATGCCTTCTCCCGCTTCCCTGGCCTCAAGGCCCTGAGGCTGAGCCTGTATCGCACTCATATCCTGCCAGGAGCCTTCTGGGGCCTGGGACAGCTGCAGCTGCTGTCTTTCCTGCAGCCTCCTGGGAGAGACCTCTTCCTACCCCCGGATGCCTTGGGCAACCTGAGCTCCCTCCAGTACGTGGCTTTCTCGGGCGTTTGCCTGAATGGGAGCTCGGGTGTCCGGTTGCCTCCCAACCTGCGGCAGCTGTCCGTCACTTTGAGTTGCCTTGAGAATGTGGGGCAGCTGGCCGACATCTTCCCGGACCTGGTGCGTGGCTCCTCTGGCGATGCCTGGACTCTGGAGATGCTGGACTTGACGTTAAACAAATGGCTGAAGACGGCCAGTCCCGGGGCCCTCCAGGGCCTCAAGCTGGGGACTCTGAAACTGGACCACACAAAGATGAAGGCAGCTGCAGTGATGGGACTGGGGCTGCGGAGGCTGGATGCCCTGTCTGTGACATTCACGGACACGGCCGAGCTGCCCGCCGGGACAGTTGCCCACTTTGAGCTGCAAGAGCTGAGTATGGGAGGGGCACCGAGGCTGATAGAACACATAGCTCCGGAGGCCCTGGCTTCCTGCCAAAGCCTGAAGAACTTGAGTCTCCAGGGAAGCCGCCTCATGGACCTGCCACCAGGTTTGCTGGCTGCCCTGCACAGGCTTCAGAGGCTGAACCTGAGTGGCAACAAGCTACGCAGTGCCGTGCTGTGCCAGAACAAGACAGGAGCCGAGTCAGGACTGTGGGCCCTGGACCTGTCCAGCAACGAGCTGCATAGCCTGGCCCCTGCCACCTTCTCCTGTTTGTCCCACCTGCGGGAGCTGCTACTTCAGGTGAACCAGCTGGTTCGGCTGGAGGGCCAGGTATTCCAGGGCTTGAGGAGGCTGGAGATGCTGGACCTGAGTAACAACCCACTGGAGGCCCTGGGCGAGGGCTGGTTGGCTCCTCTGCCTGCACTGACCACCCTCAACCTGCTTAAGACCCACATCGTGCCGAGCCCAGCCTGGGACTTCTGGGGCCTAGAGAGTCTGCAGGACCTGAGGCTGCCGCTCCCCTCTGGCCCTCCTGGGGCAGCGCTGTCCCTGCCCACGAGGCTGACCAGCTTGGAGCTTCATGCAGTGCCAGGCGGGGAACTTTGGGAACTGGCTTCTCCTGTCTTTCCAGCTTTACAGAAGTTGACTCTAAAAGGCTTGGGACTGCAGCTGGGGACCCAGAATGTCACCAGGATCTTCCCTGCCCTTCGCCAACTCTCCCTGTTTGGCAGTAGCTTGGAGGGCCTCTGTTCCCATGACACCCCCAGCTTCTTCCTCTGGCAGCTCCCTAGGCTCCAGTATCTGAGGGTACAGGGGGACGGGCACGGCCCCAAGCCCTGCTGCATCACCGGGCTGCCCAATCTCCAGGAGCTGAAGCTGCAGAGACTGCAGTCCCGAGAGCAGCCCCGCCGCCTGCAGCTGGAGGAGCTGGTCGGGGAGCTGCCCAGGCTCCAGGTACTGTATGTGGCCCAAACGGGGCTGGAGACGCTGTCTGCGGTTGCTTTCCAGGGTCTGGGAAGTCTCCAGGTCTTGGTGCTAGTCCGGGAGAACAGCCTCGTGCTGGACGGCAGTCTCCAGCAGCTCAGTCCCCAGATGCCACAGTACGTGTATATGATGATCTCGTCCTTGGCCTGCCAGTGTGCCAATGCCTGGGTGGAGCCCTGGCTTGAGGGGTCCCCCAGAACATATGTGTATATAGCATTCACCCAGCTGTGCCAGCCAGAAGCCAGGGTCCACCCCAAGCCTCGCCTCTTCCCTTTTCTCCGGAGTCACTGCCCCAGGACCTTGGAGTTGGGCCTCTTTTTGGGCAGCTCTGTCCTGCTGCTTCTGCTGATCTCCTTGCCCCTCCTGCAGGAAGCCAGGAACTCCTGGTTCCTCTATCTCCAGGCCTTACTCAGGGCTTGGCTTCAGGACCTGTGGGGTCGGAAAGGTGAGGGCAAGAGGTTCCTCTACGACGTCTTTGTGTCCCACTGTAGGCAAGACCAGGCCTGGGTGGTGCAGGAGCTGCTGCCTACGTTGGAGGGCCGCCGGGGGCTGCGCCTCTGCCTCCCCGAGCGGGATTTCGAGCCAGGCAAGGACGTGGCTGAGAATGTGGCGGAGAGCATGGCAAACAGCCAGGTCACGCTCTGCGTGCTGAGTTGCCAGGCGCTGCGTACCCCACGCTGCCGCCTGGAGCTCCGACTGGCCACCTCCCTCCTGCTGGCCGCCCCCCGGCCCCCACTGCTGCTGCTGGTCTTCTTGGAGCGTGTCTCCCGCCACCAGCTCCCCCGCTACCACAGGCTGGCGTGGCTGCTCCGCAGAGGAGACTACTGCTTGTGGCCCGAGGAAGAGGAGAGAAAAGACGGCTTCTGGGCTTGGTTGGGGAGCAGGCTGGAGCAAGCCAGGCTGGGCTAGAGTGAGTGCGTGCATGTCAGAGGGCGGGGGTAGGAAGGAAAGCCATCCTGGCAGGGAGAGTGTAGGTATGTGTCAATGAGTGAGAAGGAACTGAGCCTCGGGGAGGTGGGTGCTGTGTATAGGGAGGATCAACCGATGGCTTGGGGAGCACAGGGCTTTGGGAAGGCTCTGGAGGTTGAATGAGGAAATCTGGGGGCTGCGGGTAGCCATGAGGCATGGGATGTGTTCTCAAGATGTCTGGATCCTCAGTAAATTGGCTAAATACATGAAACAAATGGCTTAATTGGACTTTTTGCTTTTTGATGGAGACTTCCATGAGAAAGAAGGTGAAGGGGGCGAGGTCATGGAAACTGTAGCCTGGAGGGAATAAAGGGGGAATTAAGGGAGAGAATGGGAAAGAGAGGAAGTCTCAGAGTACTCCTAAGATCTGGAATGGGGTCCAGGCCAAGTTCAAGCAGATCTTGAAGGGGCAGAGCAGCCCCTTCCACCATCTGGGTCATAAGGGAATTGGCAGCCAAGGACCAAAAAGCTGGGATGCTGCTCAGGAGGCAGCAGACCAATTGTCTGTTCCCTCAATGAGGACATGAAGGCATGGCCACATCTGTCACCTTGTTTGAACCTCATAGCAACACTGGGAGGGGAACCCACCTCCTTGGCACTCGTGCCTCCGCTCCCAGGACACTATGTTCTCCCGCCTCTGGGCCTTTGCGTGTGCTATCCCTCCCTCCCACTTTAGTTCTTCTCAGGAACTAATGCGCATCCTGTAAGACTCAACTCAGCCATCGCTTTCTCCAAAAGCCATTCCTGACTTCCCAGCCTCTGGGTCTCCATAACTTCTTGCACTCCCTTTCCACTGACCACACCGTTCCAGCCCTTACAGGTCTGGGAGCCCCCAGAGCAGTAGTCTCCAAGGCGGGTGGTGGTGTCACAGGGGCTTAGAGAGAACATTTAAAAATTTTTTAGTCTTATGGCTTTGTTATGCTACTTAACCTCTGCATGTCAGTTCTCTCTTCTGTAGTATGGGATAGTATTACACCTTGCCCAAAGGGCTTTCCGAGGATATGTATAAAGCACGGAAAGCAGGACCCAAGAATGCATTGTAAATGTTCAATAAAGTTAGGTTGTCATACAATTCTATATGTACTATGTGCATATAATTTATAAGTAAGTACACATATGTTGGGCCTTAGCCGGCTTGGCTTGGTGCCATGGTCTGCAAAAGCCATGGTCGAGCCATATGCGGCTCTTTGGCCCCTTGAGTGTGGCTCTTCCACAAAATACCACGGCCTAGGTGAGTCTATTTTGAAGAAGTGGTGTTAGAAGAATTTAAAAAATTTGGCTCTCAAAAGAAATTTCAATCGTTATACTGTTGATATTTGCCTCTGTTGACTAACGAGTTTGCCGACCACTGTGTTAGTGGACAGAGGGTTGATCTGCGAACCAAAGGGTCCTGGGTTCAATTTTGGTCAAGGGCACGTACTTTGGTTGCAGGCTCCTCCCCGGCCCAGGCCCTGGTTGGGGTTTGTGCAGGAGGCAACCAGTTGATGTGTTTCTCTCTCATCAATATTTCTCTTTGTCTTTCCCTATCTCTTCCACTCTCTCTAAAAATCAATGGGAAAATATCCTCCTGTGAGGATTAAAAAACAAACAACAACAAAAAAAACACCACACACATGTTGGGAGTGTGTACTAAAAAAATTTCTTATTAGTAGGAAACATGACTAATTTACTAATAGGACACTTGACTAGGGAAGTTTGGAGATCAAATCCTGGGGGCAGGGACCACGTGTGATTCATCTCTGCATCCTCAGAGCCTAGTCTGGCCCAGCTCAAAGAGAGTCTTAACAGACAGCTATGAACAGAAAACAATCTTTAAAAAAATTTTTTTTTATAAGTTTGGCTTTTGCCTCATTCACTTGACTGTTCTTTTCTTTAAAAATGTATTTATTGATTTCAGAGAAGAAGGGAGGAGAGAGAGATAGAAACATCAATGATGAGAGAGAATCATTGATCGCCTGCCTCCTGCACGCCCCCCACTGGGGATTGAGCCTGCAACCCAGGCATGTGCCCTTGGCCAGAATAGAACCTGGGACTCCTCAGCCCGCAGGCTGACGCGTTATCCACTGAGCCAAGCCGGGTAGGGCCAGAAAATAATCTTGACGGATGCTGAAGCAGAGAATTGGGGTCTGATTCATGCTTTGTTGTTTATTTCTACATGACACTGGGCCAGGGAACTTGACCTCTTGGGGCTTTAATTTTCCTCTTCTGTCCAATGCCAGGCTTTTCAGACAAAGGCTAAAGGAAACCATAGAACAGTTCTGGGCTGGATTTAGGGTGAGGGGTGCCCTCTAGTGTTCTAGTGGTGTATTTCTCTCTGTGATTTCTCACCTCCATTCTTCCTCTGCAGGATAGAAGTTCCTGAAATGAATGTCTTTACCAGATCATGCAAAACTGCCTTTCCAACTCCAGATCTTGGCTTCAGCCCTCCCAGCACATCACACTGAAGAACTGTCTCTCTCCACTCACTCCATCCCCTCCGTCTTTTCCTCATGCAGCACTGGGCTGAGAAGGAACCGTTAGTCATGTGCCCCAGTTCAAATCCCATGCCTGGCATTTATTGGCTATATGATCTTGAGTAGGTCACATCATCTGTCCAAGCCCCTATTTCCTCCTTATAAATTTGGGGTAATAATACCCACCTCAGAGGGCTGTTGAGACTTCAATAACAAGGAGTGCTGGTAGGTTGCTACTCCTTTCACTGTGCAAAACCACATGAGTACTATCAATCAGTTGGAACATGTTTCATAGAGGAGAAGGATTTTAAAGTAGGTCTTTAAAACTAATATACAGAATTCCACAAATTTTAATATGTATTGAGCACTTGGCCATATGCTAGGTGCTGTGAATTCCCCCAACTTCTTATAAAAATTAGTAAAAATAACAACAGGTAATCATTAGCAAACTTCTTCTGCTAGCCATGTGCCAAGTTCTTTACAAATTTTCCTCCACTTATTTCTCACAAACCCGATCAGGTTGATGCCATTATTTTAATTCCCATTCTACAGAAGAGGAAACGGAAACATAAAGAGGTGAGATAATTTGCTCAATGTTTCTCAAGTAGTGAGTGGCAAGGCCTGCACCCTGCATTTGAAAATAGAAAGTTTCAGGCACAAGTAGAGGCCTCCAGAGTCCACGCTGTACCTGAATTATCCCATTTAATCTTCACCACACCGGCCAACCTCTACACTAACAGATTTACATAATAACAGGTAACATTCCCTGTGTTACCTTTAGAATCCAGGCCCAGAGTTCATCGTTTATTCTTTGAAACCTCACAAAAACGTGTAGACTCAGATGCTATTATTATCCTCGTTTTATGGGTTTGAATAAAGCGAGGTCCACAATTGACTCAAAGCCATGCATCTTAACTGTGAGCTGTAAATTAAACCTACAATTGCCATCACCCTCTTGATTTCTTAATGTTTCTGCTTTGATCTCTCTGGGGGCCTCTGGCTCTCGCTTCTCCCCGTAAACAGCCCCCGCCCCTTCAGTTTGAGTCTCCGCCTAATGGGCGGCGCCGTTTCCGAGCCTGTGGAAAGGGCCGGGATTGCAACAGATCCCGCCCTCACCCTTAGCCCCTATTCTGATTGGTCCCGGTGCCGGGGACCGGGAGAAGGTGACACATCTATTGGCTGAAGACATCTACCGGGCACTCAACGGAAGGGGCCACCGACCAGCCTTTTCGCGCGGTTCCTTCTGGGAGTTGTAGTCTCAGATGCTCCATTCCCGGGGTGGCGCCGGCCGGACTCCGCGTCCCATCAGTCCCTGCGCGAACCCTGGAGCACTTCCGCCCCGTTGTGAAGTGGGTGTCTCGCTGGGTGAGTCCGGGTGGCGGGGCGGGGGCATCTGAGACTTAGGCTCTGGGCTGGAGACTTAGGAGGGGATGTGTCACAGGAGGCCGGGGAAAGGTGTGAGAGGAGAAAGAAGCTTTTATGTGTGGGTGGTGGTGGGGTGAGGGGCGGTCAGAGGATGAAGCGTCCCGAGGTGGGAAGGGTCATCGAGGGGTTGGGGATGAGGAGAGAGCTATGGAGGGCTCTGGGAGTGAGGACGGGCTTAGGGCTGCAGGTGAGGATGCCGAGAGAGGTTCTGGAGGCGGGAGAGTCTAGAAGAGCCAGGAGACCACAGAGGGAGGGAGGGAGGGAGAAGGGTCGGGGGCCCTGGCCAGAAGTGAAGATAAGAGGGCCTGAGCTTGAAACCCAACCTTAAAAATAATGTACCAGCCTCTCCCTGCCCACCGAGAGCAGACATCTGACTTGCTACGCCCTTACACTTTCTCTAATGGTGTGACTTCTGGAATCCAGTGGGTGGGACCAGCTATTGTGTTCTGTCCCACACCTGCACTTCTTACCTTGTGCCCGACGGAAGCGAATGGCACCATCCTCCACTTGGCCCAGGTGCCTTCTGGATTCTCTTGCGTTCTTCCACACCAGGGATCTTCAGATCATTCCGTTTCCTTAACGTGTCTTGAATCTGCCCTTTTCCTTGTCGGGTTTTGGCTGAAGTCTCCATCTTGCACCTCTCAGCCTGGACAAACACAATGTAGCTAGTGTGATCTGTTTAACCCACACATCTGATTATGCCTTCTGCTTTAAAAGCCTCCATTGGCACTCATCACTGATAGAATTAAGTCCAATTACGAAGTAGTCCTTCGTAAACTACTCTGCAGCCTAATCTTTTCCTGCCCCACACTCCAGGGCTACCAACGTTTTTCCCCATTTATCCGGGAGGCTGTTTGGTTTTCCACCTTTATACATGCTGTTCTCTCTGAGCACACTCCCTCCCCTCCCCTTCCTCTCCCCTGCCAAGAGAACTATTCTTTCATCAGGAACCAACTCAGATGTTACTTTGTTCAATTTCCTTAAGTGGTTAAAATTCCCCTCCACAATCCCCCAGCTCCCTCACAACTCTTTTCTGCATTTTCCACATTTGATCATCATCAT